CTACGCGTCCGTTCATCGTGCACGAAGCTGTTCTCGTCATGAATTTCGTCATATGCGATATTTCTCTCATTATGCGCCTTCCTTTTGCAGTTTTCACCGCCACGATTTGATTACATGGAGCCGGCGGTCGATTGATTCGCGCCGCCGTCCGCAGCAGCAACTCTACAGTATCCGTTGGTTACGGTACCGCGTGATATGTCGTCGGTAAAGGTCGCCGTACGCGTTCGACCCTTCAATCAAAGGGAGATCGCCAAAAATCGGTCGCGAATGTAATATATTGGCATGAATGGCACGACCACTAGTGAGCAATCTTTTTGTAATTTTCGTTTGATTTTTTCCACGTTTTCCGAATGGTTTATATTGTATTTTGATCTACAATGATTTATATTCTGATCTTCGTTCAATATTTCATTTTCGAACGTTTATAAGGAAATCAGGAAACCACTGAAAGTAGCGCTTGGTCTCATGTTGAAACCGTTTTTATCTGTGCTCATGCCTTAGTTAAAGGCATGCCCCAGGATCAAATTAGTGTGGTGCTAGCACACAAGTATCAAAGTACTGGTGCAAAGTGGGCCGGTCAAGGAAAATAAGGAAATTAATCCGTCAAACGCTGAGGTTAAGGACTTACCTCCGTAATCGGCTGTGCTAAGAACAATGAGAGGCAAGCGCGGCGAAGAGAGCTTGAGGCGAGAGCGCAACTGATGACAGGCGGCAGACAAACAGCCCCGATAAAACAGAAAAAAAATTGCAGCTGCTGTACGCTAACTTGCAAGACTCCTATGCTCCCTTATGAAGGTGCCCCTGCGTGAAATGCCACATCTATGATTGCCTCCTCTGGTCTCTCTTTTCTAAGCCAAGGGTCAACTCCCTAATTATTGATGAGATCCAACGACACATTCTTGCGCAGGCTACATTGTGTCCGCCGAGCACTTTAATTTTAGCCCGAGTGCATGCTACCACTCGATGGGTGCGGGACCATTCGGGTATCGAGTGGCTGCATTTCGACTTCCATCCTTGATTCCTATAAAGTCGATGGCTTTCAAATAAGACCTACATTACTAATCGCTAGAGCTTTCTCTCTGATGTCGGTGGTGCGCTATTGCAGCACGCGAAAAAGTGCTCTAGAAAGGGAATAACACATCTGCGTTATGCTCTTAAAAGGTGGCTTGTTCGTGAAATTTTTAACTCAAAAGTTCGATTCTGGGCGGTGATATGAAAAACCGCTGGGAACTAGTCAAACGTGATCTAAATCGCTTCTGGCTATTTAGCATTTATCAAGTTGCTTTTTTCTGGGCGGATATTTTTAGCAACCTTGTCGGGGGACGAGACGACGTTGCAAGCAGGGTCAACCCTACGTTGGTTCAAGTACCAACGGGGGGTCGTACTTGGTTTAGGTTGGAGGGGGAGTCGTAAAAATTTTGCAAAAAGTACCAACGATAGGACCGACCCTGGTTGCAAGTGATTTTGACGTGGGCGAGTTGCAAGGCGGTCTCCCTGAGCTCTTAAAAACTGGCTGAGCCCTCTGCCGCTATTCAAGAACCATGAAAAGCAAAATTTTCGGCAAATCGTTAACATTCGTACTCAAAGACAGAATACGCCTGTGGTAATGAATAAGTAGACCACAGCAGGAATACACAAGTTTTGACTCACCTACACGAATTGTATGGTGTTCAAATTAATTATCCGAAAAAATTACTGCGTATATAGTGAAGATCTGATCCAGGGCAGTTATTTCCATTGCATATTAACGTACCCTTTGAGGGAGTGGAGAACTTTCTACATTCACAGGTAGCAGTGATAAAAATTGACTGTTATAAGGCTACATTTCCTCTGCTGCGTCGCATTACGACGAGGCTTCTTGACCCTAGCTACCACCTTTTAAAAGTAGTCTATTGTCTGTCTGTCTATTGAAACGAAATGGCTATGATGAAAGGCGCGTCTTGGATATTCGATGCTATCCCTTATGAACTTACCTCTGTTATCTTATGCAAATTTTTTCTTTTGAGGCGCAAATTCATTCTTTCGCTCAGCACTGCCTGGGCAAAGCCTCACCCGTAACCCAATTTGCAGCACACCCGTCCGGCGTTCACCGGAGCGTAAAGCTGTCGCTGTCCGGCACTAATAAGTGCTGTCTAGGCAGAGACGAAGGGAACTTGTGCCGCCATATTCCTATGAACTTTAGAGGCTCTGAAGTTTCTACTTCCCTTCATTAATAGCCTCCATATTCCTTTGAGGCGATGGTGTAGCTGCAAATGGAGCTGCCTATCAACGAACATGAACCAGGGGTCAAGTCTTTTATTCGATGCCACCTTGACCATCCAGACATTCTATCTTACTCTTTATAACTGATTCACGAAACTGGCTTCGGACTCATCTCATAAAATGCCTTCTATTGGCTGGGAAGATTCGGGGCTATGTTTTTGGGTGAGAGTCGTTGGTAAGATCTTCTTGAAGTCATTTTTTCCCAGAATAATTCTTTCGGAAGAACGTTTCAATAGAATGGGTTGATAGCGAAACTCCAGCGCACTTTTCATACACACTCTGCAGGGTTACTGTTTTCTTCTTAAACCAAGCTTTCATATCTGAAAATATGCCAGTTGGTCTCATGGCTCTGCATAACTTAATATGGGCAATCGTCACAAAAATCGGCTCCGGGCTGGGTAGATTATGTGGCAACCGTAGGTGCCTAATGTGTCCAGAAAAGAATACTTGTCGCATCCTAGAGATTCAGTTGCTCCATCATTTATCCTTTACTAGTGATTGATTTGCTCATTTTTCCTTCCATCACAATAAATCACTCTTATTACTATTTTGAAAAGACATTGTTGAATTGGATAAGGGGATGTAAATTTTTTCTATGAATGGCCTCTCTATAGTGACCGAAAACGCAGCTTTATCTTCGCCGTCCGTACACCTTGCGCAATACCGTTCGCCGCTTGGGTTGGGTAAGTAACGTTTTGTTTCGTAGGTGTCTGGGGTAAGAAAGCAGTCCTTTGAACATCTGGGGCCGTAAGGTATGCTTCCCCGAATAGTTGGGGGAAAATTCCTTCGAATTTATTCGTTTTGAACGGTAGATATAGTTTCTTCATTTTCAGTGCTTTTCAGGACCTTTATCAGGACAATCCTAGTTGGGAAGACAGAAGAAATTTAAAGGGATTTTCGTCCCCCAACTCTTCGGGGAAGCACACCTTACGGCCTTCTTGGAATACCCGAGCCCTGATGAACGCAGAACGCGTCGCTGGGTGGAGTAGATATAAAATGCATTGACCATTGGTGGAAACTTCTCACCAGGTTACATGTGCAGTAATTGGTACCGAAATCTCTCCCACTCAGGGCTGACCTCGTTGAACGAACCGTTTCGCAAAATTGGCTTGGCGTCGAATCCCTCGCAGCAGTGTGATGATGTCATCATGCATAATGGAATAGAAGTGGAAAAAAACAGCCACGGAATAAAGTCGAAATTGGACATGAATTAACGGCCGAATCGATGCGCGCGCGTCACGCGAATCGCCCCATCCATGCCGCCTCGACGGCTCTTCGACGTTGTCCGTCAATGCGGGGTGGGCGAATTCTATTAGGAAGTCTCGCAAAACAATTATTTAAAGCCTGTTATGCGAAAACCTAAATTCGACTGTTTGTTTGTTTCGTGACGAAATGATATGGATGGTGGTGCTAGTTCTGGGAGCGCATTTGAGAATGAGGGGTTGAAGAGATGGGCGAAATACTGGCCAACCTGGCTCTCGCTCACCAGTTTGTCACAATGCTTTGTTAGCTAATTTTTGTCAAGGGACCTTCATAAGGTTGAAAGAGAATAGAGGAGGCTGGACGCTATGAAGGAGCCAAGGATCAATTGATTCTCCAAAGATAGGATGAGCTAGTTGTCGGAAGCGATGGATGGGTAAATCCTCATACAGAACAGTTGAAATAGGCTCGGAAATGTAAGGGAAATAAGAAGGAAAGGTTTTTAATAAGTGTGTGATCCCAACATGGCATTGGTCAAGGCCTGATGACCGCTGTCGTTTTATGAAAATTTAGCCTTTTGTGATATTTATCAAGAGTCGCCAGCAGGGTACCTCCTTAAAGGCAAACCTGGATTAGCCCGACTAGTAGGAAGGACACTGCAAGGGAAAGTGTGGGGTTCGTACTCTCCACAGATCGTGCCCAGCGCGATTAGGGGCGTTGACGCATAACCAACCTGCAACCATCGACCTTCGCTGCAACGCTTTCCACCCACCGCTATTGATATAGAGATCAGCGTGCTTTCTCTCTACGGTGTGCCTCTCGCCTGTTTTGTCTTCTTTGATCGCCCTGTCTCGCCATCGTACCACATTCGACGTCACTGAAAGATAAGGCCTTAAAGGCCCTAATTTAAGCGTTCCCAAAGACTTTTCTTCCTTTTCTTCCCTCTTTCAGGTCAATCCGCAGCTCAGTCATCACCACGAAGCGGTCCTATCACCGATTTCATCCCAGGGCTTGCCTTTATCTGAAGTCGAACACGCTCAGACGGTCCTTGTTCTAATAAGAATAATCCTTCAATCCTTTCACAGCTGAACTTCTAAGGAAGAGTGATCAGCCGAAAGCTGCACGGAGCAACTACCCATCAAGTCTGTCCTCCCGAATGCCATGCGCTCGAACGTCCTCTGCTTCGCCGCTTCTGTCCTTCATAGCACTCTGTAATCAGGAGAATAGCAGGAGTTTTAGCATGACTCTGCCACCTCAAAATCATATCTATATTTCCCACTTTTCCGGACTGACCCGAAGCTATTAAATAAACGACACTGGATGGATGAATATGCATGGCTAAGTGGATGCCGAGCCATATCATCAGTGACGACACGACACCTGTGACGACTACTCATTTTTTTCCGGTGTGTGTTGAGAATAGCACCAAGCCTATGCTCCTGGACGTGCAAGCTCAGCGCTTTAATGGACGAGTTGTCTCTACACACATCTATATGTCTTACGTACATCTTCACACCATGTGCCCCAAAAAATTTAACATGTCCATTTTGGGTAGTCTGCATGCCTTCAAAACATTGAGGATCAAGCCTTACCGTATGTATAAACACTAAAATTTAACATTATTGAATAATTCATGTCAGTATAATATTGCACGAATGATTACGAAAAATCACTGCGTGTACATCACTTTGTATAGAAATTTTATTCAAAGTTATACGAGATGTCTCCTTGATTCGATCAGTGAAAAAAAAAACTTATTCCAGCAATCAGTGGATCGACGCCTGACAAGTGCCACTCATTCAACTTCGATCATTCGTATTGGTCGTATTCGAGAGATGATGCTCACTATGCCAGTCAAATTCAGGTCTACCAGGACCTCGGTGTCGAGATGCTCGAACACGCCTTCGAAGGGTAAGATATGACTCCTTCTCAATCACATTCGCTTCCTACTCTATTTGAACCAAGTAAATTTTGGATACCGATTCTGCTGCAAAGGCAGAACCGTTCGCAATGAAAAAAATGTGACTCGCCACAGAGATAGTAAAATGACTGATAATGCGGAAGCGATAGAGAAGGCGCCAATTAGTGCTATTAGTCTTTTTGGTGGCAAAGAACAAACGCTTGACAGTTTTTGAGAAAGGGCTGTACTGAGTAAAAAGCAACTGGATAGGGCGCTATGAAGTTATGGTACAAAGAAATTAGGCAATAAAAGTAAGGCTGCACTCGAGGAACGCTTGCATTGTTCAACAGAATGAGCTTGTTCGACAAAATACTCAGAAGATCCTCAGAAGGCATCGAATTTCTGCCAAAACTCCGGTCCTTCATTGTCAACAGGGTCTGTCACATCTTCTGGATACTGTATTCGGCTTCCTTTATTTGCCTTCTGAGAAACGGCTGCTCTATCTACGACTCTAGTCATCACAAAAAGTTCTTCGAATCTAACCCGTGGGGCCCCAAATGGCCGACGACCTTACGAAAAATCTGAGATTTCTGTTATGAAATCTCAGATCGATTTTTCTGAACTTCAACTCGCGTTTATAACAACCTCTCCATTCATACAAACTAGATTTAGCTCGACGATTCTGCATTGGGACACTCTTCTCTTGAGAACAGTATTACTCTTTACAGCCTCTTTGCTTGACCGAACCGAAAACCCATTATCCACGCCACTTTGATTTTCCTCAACTAAGCATCCATAACAATATATTAGAAGTACATGACAATAAGTAGATGAGAGTATCAATTACACCAGACCTTTTCAGATACAATGTGTGTATATTTGCCTATGGACAAACGGGTGGTGGCAAATCGTATACGATGATGGGCAAGCCGGGTGACGAGAACGAGATGGGAATCATACCACGACTTTGTAATGATTGTAAGTCTTACTGTCTAATATTGTATAATGACTAAGTACTGTGTGCACCTATATTACTGACATGATTTATGCCATGCAATTGTGGGCAGAGAAATCAACCAATTTTTTTAAGGACATTGCAAAATCATTACGTATTGGGTCATTGGCAAAAATTTTTTCCCTTTCTGATTGGAAACCTGAAAGGAAAGAACTAAGAGGGCAACAGTTTTGTTTTAAATAGAAAGACATTTCTATCTACAAATTAGGAATGGTTCGATTTTTGAAGCAACATTTACTTTTTTTAGTGTTTGCACGAGTTAAAAGTTGCACGGACACCAATGTACAGTACTCGGTCGAAGTGTCTTATATGGAAATCTACTGCGAGCGTGTCAAAGATCTGTTGAATCCAAACAGCGGAGGTAGTGGCATGATTTTCTCTTTGTTTTTTTGCATTTGTTCTTTCAAAGTGTCTTTTTGTGATTTGAAAGTTGGTTCAACGACTTGTCCCTACTGGTGCCCTGATTGTATGCCTGTAAAATGCCTTGTCGGCTCAACAACATCGATGTTAATCATTTCTCAGTTCTATTTTGGCTTCATAATAACACATTCGCCATGCCCTTTGAAGAAGGTTAGCATTAGAGAGAGAGCATAGCCGCTCCCGCTGCTCGAGTGCTGTTTGAGGGTCCATTCTTGCGTGCCGAAAGAGGCAATTTCTGTCATGGAAAATGAGACGCAGCCAGTAAGAAATATGGCTCCTCTACGGGCGGAGATGGCAAGGCGTGAAACCCAAAAACAAATGGCAAAGCATGGCACTTTCATGAACTACTATAAAATTAGGCAGTAGCGATCTGTTAGGTTTGACGATTAACTTCAGATAGAGTTCAGGCTCAAACACTAACCCTGGTAGACGCTCTCATTGCAGCCAAGAATGACCTTTCTAAACCATTTCGTTTCTAGGGAATCTTCGAGTTCGTGAACATCCTCTTCTCGGACCGTATGTGGACGATCTGACCAAAATGGCCGGTCTGCTCTTATCAGGATATCTGCCATCTTATGGACGAAGGGAATAAAGCTCGGTTAGTAACGGGTTTATTTGTGCTGACTCCATGATCAAGGCCACTACAAATCAAGTCATGACTCCTGTCAAAAATTTTATCTTGGTCAACTCTTAATGATACGCAATTATGTAGGTACATATGTAGTATCCTGGTGCTACAGTGTTTTTTTCTGAAGTGAGGAAAAAATTCTGGAGTTTTCCAAAATGAATAAACCACATATATTCAGTTCTGGACAAAAATTTACCTTATTTGGACCTATCGCAAGATACGGGGCTATTGTGGTGTAATGCCTTCGAAATCACGTAAAATCTCTTCTTTTGAAATGGGGATTAAGCCGCAGAAAGAGGTGGAAAGGCTCCAAAGTGCTTCAAATCTCTTTTTCCCCACGTTAGTGCCCACTCCTAGTCTTATTTTTGAAGGACGCCCCATATCCTGCGATAGCACCACTTTACCTTATTTAATGAAAATAATTATGTGTAAATAGAGCACTATGTTATTTCAGAACGGTGGCTGCGACAAACATGAATTCAACATCATCTCGTTCCCATGCTGTCTTCACAATAGTGCTAACACAAAAACGCCATTGTCCTGATGCCAATCTGGACACTGAAAAGGTGCTGTTCAGAACCTATACATTCACAACATATGCTATGTATTCAAAGCTAACTTTTCGCTGCGGGCGTCATCGCGGAGACTCAACTGATCCCTAGTAATTATTTAATGGCTGCTAAAGAACAAGAAATTCCTAGGGATTGAAAAATGGATTGT